GAACTGTGGATATATCAACCTCAAGTCAATGAAATGTTGAAAAACACTGTAACAACAAAAACATAGTAGTGAAAGATACATTTAACTAATAATTAATTCCCTTTATTTTTAATATAAGTTGTCTCCTATTCTCTGACTTTACCCAATGCCACCATAATCAAAGGTTGCAATGTTTTAAAATACTAATATTTTAGCCCACTCAGTGTTGCTCAGTGGTTGAGTGTTGACTCATGAACCAGGAGGTCACAGTTCGATTCCTAGTAAGGCCACGTGCCTTGGTTGCTGGCTAGATCCCCAGTAGGGGGCACGCAGAAGGCGGCTGATCAATGATTCTCTCTCATCATTGATGTTTCTATCTTTCTATCCCTCTCCCTTCCTCTCTCTGAAATCAATAAAATCATCATTTGAAAAAGAAGACTAATATTTTAGCATCACTCCAGAACTAGTGATGAATCCACAAGTTTCTCCAACCAATGTGAAAATTTAGGTTGCATACATAAAGGACAACTTTAGGTGTGTTCTAGGGATCTTCTACTTGACTTTGCAGTTCTGAAAAATCTGCCACTTTAAATAAATGATGAGCCCTCTTTCCCTTGGCTCTTGGATGCAGGGTTAATTCCATTTGTCCTGTTGCAGAAGAGGGCGTTTGAGGTTGGGAGTGGTGAGAGCATCTGCAGCCTCTAAACAACTCAGAGGCACTCTGCCCCCTAGTGGACTGTTCAAGGATGAGCTTTGATGAAAGGTGAAGAAGCTTCACTTCCCACACCCTCACTTTATCAGCCTCCTGGCTTCTGTAAACTCCCGGAGATGCCTCAGTTGAAAGTTTTTGTCCTCACTAATTACACATTAGTTTGGATAAACAATTTCCTTTTAAATAACGCAAAATCCCCGGGCTACTTAATCAGCCCTGTGCAGGTAAACTAAGAAAATCAAATCAACACATTTTCATGGATTATTAGGACTTCGCATGGGGAATTAAAAAGGAGAGAAGCTGAAAGTGAGACACTGAGAAAAGATGTAGATGTGGTGAGGGATTTGGGATTGTTGGAAGACAGCTGCAAATCTCTAGACAAGGAGGAGGAAAGAGAGGTTGAGTAAATAAGAGGCAGATGCTATGGGAAATGAAAAACTTGGCAATTTCCTCTAGGCCACTAGAACTACTATAAACCAGCCTAAGGAGTAAGTGTGAAAGGTTCCAAACCTCGGTCACTTTTAGTTTAGTTACGTTTCTCCCACTCAGCCTTGTTTGGTCTCCCCTAGTCCCACTTCTGGTAAATAGCACTCCATGTTTCTGTGCTACAGGGGTTCTGTATCCTCAAGGGAAGCATTGCGGAAATACTGGCTAAAGAGGAAGTATTCTTTGCTGAGATCCAAAAGGTATTATGATGGATGATTTACCTGTATATTCTCCAACTTTTGTAAGTAGACTACACTTGGGGTGAACAATACAGCTATACCATGCTCTATTTCCAATTCTAACCTAGCACTTTCTGATTCCAAAAGCTATTTTTCTGTGGACTTCTCCAGTGCCCAGATAAGTCAGTTTCCTCCTCTTACCTCTCCCCCAAGCCAGCTTTGAATTCAGCTCCTCTTCTTTTTTCTGTATTTCAAGCACCATACAGTACCTTGAAATCTTATTACCGAGCCTAAAGACTGAATAGGACCTCTAGAATCCGGATCTGGAAAACTCTTGTGATAATGAACCTGACTTACCCTCTCTGCAGAAGGTAAGATCACCATCTGTCTATTTCCTTTTAAAGTCTTCCTACAGATATTAACTATATCCAGGAAATCATAGTGATAATGCCAGTCCTCCTCTGTATCATTTATCCCAATTATTCTCTCTTGAAGGCTCAAACTCCTGAATGCAACCCAAAATATAATGAACCAATCTTTTCATAATAATAGAATTACTACCCAAAGTTTTTTAGAACACAAAAAAAGGACTTTTATTATTTTCCTAAATTTCATTTCCAATTACACATTTGTTGAAAGGTGGAAAACCAAAGGCAACTTTCAATCACAATGACTCCATCAAAAACACATAATCTGAGAAGTTACTGCTTGAGTGACTTATAGTCCTTTTGGTTAAAGAAGATTGAAACTAAGGTAATAGAGAGAGAAAGTGAAGATTACTGTTCTGTAGGAAATTTGTTGAATTCAGCAATTCATTCTTGGGTGCAGTGTCCATTTTTAAAAAGGAAACTCTAAAATTCCTAGAAACACAAGACAATATCCATATTTTTTGGATGAGTATACATTCATATATTTGTGTGAAGTTTTGTGCAATTAAACAACATGGAAAATGTTATTACAACAGCCAATGAAAATATATTTTCATTTCTATGTAAGTTAGACATCTCCATCTCCCATTTATGTTCTGCAAAAAAGCCATTATCTAGTTTATGAAACAACTATACTATAGGCAGCAGTAACTGAAAAGGAGCTTAACAGCCTAACTACATACCCCTGGGATGAATGATACACTTTGCATAATCATGTGCAATGCCAGATGATGTTTCTAGATCTCTTATAAATACGGGGGTTTGCAAGCTTCTACTTCACATAACAGGCCCCACATCCAGTCAGTTCAGCCAAATAGTCAAGCAAAAGTTGAAGTGGATAATCTACAAAATGGCAAACAGTCCCTTTGACTAACTTGACCATGTTCTGTTAATAAAGGGGCACAATCACGGTAGGTACCAAATAAAGAAATCATTTGTAAGTGGCTATTTGTTTCTATTAATTTTTCCCTTTTAGGGTCCTAGAAGTTGACCGAATTGCTTCTTAGGCCCAAAGAAAGCACAGCTGCATAAACAAAGACAAACATAACATAAAAACAAATACCATGCTTGATGCACATTCCTATAGGTAGTAAGCTAGATTTCTCCATAGGAGAAATGTCACAGAATGAAACAAAACGAAGGAACCTGGGGATACAAAAGAAATACAGAGTCATTTAGTTCCTAAAATTTTATCTTACTCCATATAACTGGCATAAATTCATCAAAATTCCCTTTTTTTAATTTAGTTTACCTGTGAAGTTTAGAATAGTATACTTTCAAGAGTCATCACCCCAGAATGAAGGTCTGCATAGTACGCAAAGGGTGCACTCCAGATCTTACATCTATTGTCTTCCAGTCCGGACTGAAGAGCTTCAAGCAGGGAGTGAACTCATTTCACAAAGACAAACTTGCTTCTGCAGACACAAGGTAGCAACTGCAGATAGCTCTCTGGAGAAGGGAATGTAAATCTTCTTTGGCATATTAAATGGTCCACATACATTTTATTTTTTCTGTGTAAATGGTCCTTCAGGGCTACTACTTTTTTTTTTATTTAGATAATGCATTCCCCCCCCCCAACTTTTTAGTGTGAAATCTTGCCCTGTGTTAGTTAGAGTGAATTGGGATAACAAGTAAGTATTGTCGCAGTTTTAAAAGACATAAATTTAAAGTATCACTGCTATTATATTCATTGAGGTATCAGGTCAGTGACAAATTTCTGAGGTGCCAAGGCTTATCAGTTTATTGATTCCCTAAAAAGTTTGATATTTGGTTCCATGAATTACCAGCTCAGCTTTAGTTTATTGGGGCTTTTCTAAAGTTCTTGCATGTCATTTTCTAGTGATCTTTGTTCCTACCCAAACTTCAATAGAAAGGTAAAAGAAACAAGCTTTTTTTTTTTTTTCCTTTGATATAGTTTTTGGGGTTCTTACTGCATTTTGAAGATTTTTGGAGAACCAAGCAAGTTCTCTTGGTTAACTTCATATGTTAGCACACAAATGAGTTACAGATGGGAGGAGAGTGCAAATGACTATCAGAAAAAAGTCTCATGCATTTAAGATTTTTTTACAAGTCAAAATATACAGCCTCCTATGGCCCTTCATTCCTTAATTGTGTAAGAACCATTCCTATTCATCAGTCTCCTTTACGTATCACTGAATTGGATAAGGAATAAAGATACATTTCTTGTTAAGGAGCAGTATCTCTAATATCATCCGTTTAATCAACTGCATTAATAAGAAATAGAGCAGCTTGGGCTGAGTCACCCATCATATCCTCCACTTATGGGGATTTAAATGTGAAAAATGACAGGTACATGAAATTAAGAGGGGGGAAAATAAAGCAATCTGCAGATTTTGTCACTGACACGCGAAATGTTTTGTTTGAGTTGTTAGAACTGTGGTTTGAAAAAATCACTAAGTAGGAACTTTAAAAAAAACAAAAAACCACCAATCTGCAGAAAACAAACAATCATAGGTGTTGGTTCTCAGTTCCACGCTCTCTCCCCATCTCCCTTCCACCCCACCCGTCCCATATAGTTTCCATTGTAATAAAAAATAGAGATCTTAACATCAGAACTTTGCTGTTAATTCTTCAAGATTCCTCTGTACCCCCCAAGCCACACACAGGGTTTGAAGCACCAAATCCACAAAGTTTCTCCAACCAAGGTCAAATAGATGCAAACTGAAGACTGAAGGATGCCAAAGTAACTGCTCTTAAATGAAGCTGGAACATAAAAGTTCTCCCCAAAAACACAAGGTCTTACGTGTCTAGTTCAAGTACTGCCAAGCTGTATGCATCTGTCTCAGACAGGGTTCAGACAACTACCTGGATCACTGCTCCTAGAGGGCATGGAGCAGGGCAGGGATCGCCTCTCCATCATGGGTTTTTTAAAAAGTCTCAAACCCCCCTTGTGACTGGCTGCCGCAGGGCCAGTGCTGAACCTGGGCTGTGAGGGAAGAAAGGGGGCCTTCTCCTCACGGCTGGGGAGCGCTCTCTTTAGTTTGCAGTCTCTCCTTCCAGGGCTCTCTCCCCCAGGGCTTGTCCTGGCTTCTCAGGATCCATTGCCCTTGCCCAGAAGACAGCGCTTCACTCCGAGGAGACCCAGTTAACAGTGAAAGAAGAGTCGACCTTACCTGTGGAACCAGACACAGCATGGTCCCCAAAGGCCACTTAGGGGGGACCCCCCTCCCCCTCACACTGCAATCAATGGACAAGTCAACTTGTGCATTTAAAGCGTATCAGTTTATGGAAGGCCTGTTTGAAGTCCTCATTGGACATGGTGTAGATGATGGGGTTGATGAGGGAGTTGAGATAGCCCAGCCACGTGAAGAAGTCGAAGATGGCCTGGTGGAACCAGCAGGCGTTTCTGCAGATGGGCATCACCAGGGAGATGATGAAGAAGGGCAGCCAGCACACGATGAACGCTCCCAGGATGATGCCCAGGGTCTTGGTGGCTTTGCGCTCCCTAGCGGCCATGAGCTTCTTCTTCTCCAGCAGGGCGTCGGACACTCGCACTTTGACTTGGTTCCCGTACACCGGGGACGACCCCGACTCGCTGGGCAGGTCCGGGGCGCGCGAGTTCATGGAGGTGACGGAAGACGTGGACCCCGGGGAGTCGGTGATGAGCTGGGCCCGGGTCAGACGCTTGCCGGTCTGGTTGGGCGTCTGCTTCAGGATGCGGGAGCGGGCCTCCACGTAGATGCGGCCGTAGAGGGCGATGAGGAGCAGGGTGGGGAAGTAGAAGGCGCCCACGGTGGAGTACACGGTGTAGAGGATGTGGTCGGTGTTCACCGTGCACTCGCCCTCGGTCTTGGCCTGGCGCCAGAAGAAGGGCGGCAGCGAGATGGAGATGGAGAAGACCCACACCAGCGCGATCATGACGGCCGCCCTCTGGGGAGTCCTCTTGGCCGAGTACTCCACGGCGTCCGTGATGGCCCAGTAGCGGTCCAGGGCGATGACGCAGAGGTGCAGGATGGAGGCGGTGCAACAGGTGATGTCCGACGAGAGCCACAAGTCGCAGACCACCTGGCCCAGGGTCCAGCGGCCGGCCACGGTCTGCAGGGTGCTGACGGGCATCACCAGGATGGACACGAGCAGGTCCGTCACGGCCAGCGAGGCGATCAGGTAGTTGGCCGGGGTGTGCAGCTTCCGCGTCCGGTACACCGTGGCGATCACGAAGGCGTTGGAGAAAGTGGTGGCCAGGGTGATGAGCGCCAGCAGCAGGACCAGCAGCACTTTCCAGGGCAGGGCCACGGAGTCCTGGTAGACGTAGTCCTCCTCGGAGGAGCTGCAGTTGTGGGAAGGGGCGGCGGCGGCGGAGAGGTTGGCTGGAGGAACCCCGGCTTGGGAGCCCGCCGGCGGCGGGGCGCACGGAGGAGCGCCGTTCTTCTCCATGTCTCTCCTCGCCCCGGAGCGCAGCCCTGAAGCATGGAACGGACGTGGCAGAGAGGAAGGGAGAGAAGGACCTGCAGGAGAGACCACACAGTCTTGCCCGCACGGCTGCTAGTTAGTTTCTTAGGCTCCTCAAGGATTCCTCCACCCAGGTTGCCGGCTGAAACGAGAGGTCAAGGGCGCGGCAGGCGGCCGAGCTGGGCGAGCGCGTCCCCTGCACTCGCCGTGCGCCCGGCGCTGCCTCCGCGGCTCCGGCTGCACCTCTCTCTCGTCTCCCGGGCTCGCTCCGCTCCGCTCGGGCTTCCCGCCGCGGATCTAGAGGAGAAGGAGGAGGGGGGCGAGGGATGGTTGCAGGGGGGAGCATTCGCCAGGTGTGGGGTCTCTTACCCCAAAGGCTCGGGCATTCCCTAACCCGGGCGCTCCTCCTGGAGCTGCAAGAATCAGCCCACAGGAGTTTCCCAGCTGCCGAGACCCAGAGCGTGCAGGCCGGCTAGGAGCCAGGAGTCCGGGTCTCGCTTGCCCGCCCCCCGCCCCGGGCTGGGGCAGTTCCCTGCGGCGGCGGCGGCCGCCAGAGTTGGGTGGGGTGAAGTCTGGGAGCCGCGCGGCGCCGCGCCTCGCAGGCGCTCTGCCCCCCTCCCTCACCCCCCTTCTTTTCACGCGCCGGCCACTCCGGCCAGCTGCCCCGCGGCCACGGGGCCGTGCGAGGGGGGACTCGGGGGCTTGGGCTGCGGCGGCTGCTCGCCCCTCGTGGCCGCGGCGGCCACTTGCGACTCGCGGGCACCCCTGGGGGTCCCGGCGCGGAGCGCACTGGGCTGGGGGACCGGCGCGGCACAGGGGAGCGGGCAGCTTTCTGGGGGAGCGGCGTGCGCCAGCCCGGGAGGAGCTGGTGAGCTGCGGACGAACGGACCAACTCCTTTTATAGAGTCCAGGTCCGGCGGTGCTACTCTAGCGGCGCGCGAGAGCGTGAGCCCCGCTCCCGAGCACCTTCCTACCCTTTGCGCTCTCCTCCCTCCTCCCCTCCCTCCCGCCCAGGTCCCTCCCTGGCCAAGGAAGCGCCCGCCGGGTCCTACCGCCCCGTCTCCATGCCCATCCCCAGGCCCCTCCCGATCCTGACGCCCAGGTGCGGCATTTTCGGCAGAAAACGGGGTTGAGGGCGCGCTGTCCTTGCCTCCATCGGCTTCCGAGCTGGCCGCGCTCCCCTCCAATTAGACCCGCGCCCCCCACCGGGGGCACAAGCACTGCGTCTCTTCCTAGACTACAGCCCCCACCTCCCACCCCAGCCCCTGACCTCTGCGCTTAGGAATTTTATCCTGGCAGCCCTGCTGGCCACACCCAGGTTAGAAGGAGGAGCCGATAATAGAGCCTAAGAAGGAAATGGCCAACAGAGCATTTTTATGCTTTGGGCATCAAGTTATGCTTAACTCTTCCTACCATACAAACTACATTTTCATATCTGGGTTTTAGGAATATGTGCTTTTCATTCAATCCCTCCGCTCTGTGAGTCAACAGAAAAAAAATAAGTTAAAAGCTGTGTGTGTGAAAATGTAAAAAGTATCACAAATAGAAGCTCACTGAATGTGAAATTAAACCTTCCGCTCCACCCTCCTGCTTCAGCTGCTCAGCAGTGCAGTGCCTTTGGAAAGCAGTTCAAAGAAAGCAGTTGCTTTCCACAACCTGCCTGAGGGAGGTCATCAGGATTAAAAAAAAAAAAAAAAAAAAAAAAAAAAGACGAAAGCGTCTCTGGGACCATCACCACTGGCACCACCAATGCCTCTCCTTAACCTTCAAGGAAAACATCAGGATATCAATCATATTCCGTGCCCAGCAATAGCAGCACTGCCTAGGTCCCAGGACCTCAGAGCGTATCCCCCGTGCTCAGAGCCTCCGCCAGCCTTCACAGAGACACATGTAGGGTAGAAGTACAAGAGTAAGGTTGTTTTTTGTTGTTGTTTGTTTGTTTGTTTTTTAAAGCATCAGGAATGTCCAATATCCTTTGAGCCCTGAGAGCTAACCCAACTATGAGCTCCCAGGATCTGGCTCAGTGTTTGGCAGGTAAAATGCATCCAAATTTGTAATCGAATTTATCAGGTGACATGTAAACATGTTTTAAATAGTGTTATTCAGTCTAGTGTAGAGCCTGAGATTACCTGCCCCATCCATTCCATTTTTGAAAGAGCAATTGGGATCCTTGGAAAGGAGAGAGCTTTTACCCCAAGGTGACACAACCCTAACCCAAGTGTCTTTCATTCCTGATCTGTAAGCTAAGCAGGCAGGAAAAAACTGCATGAACAAGTAAATAATTCACGTGCTTTCGTACACCGTTATGTATTGTGAAGAAAATAAAACACATCATGCATTAAGAGTGAGGGCACTCCTTTAACTGCGGGCATCCTCTGGACATGCCTGGGTTGCAGCAGCCCAGCTAGGAGTAAACACACAACCTTCCCTTTCCCCTAGCCCGCTTCCTAGCACCCTGCAGGGGCTCTGATAACATCAAACCTCATTTGCACCACATTTTCAGCGTCTTGCCCCTCCTCCCATTCCACCCAACCCAAGCCAGGCTTCCAGTTAGAGTGGATTATTTTGCAAAGCGCTCTTTATCTTAGAAACCACAGCAGAGGGAAGCAAAACAGGCAGTCTAAGCCACTAGGTGGGGGCGTTGTCCAGGATGGAGCAAAATTAAAAAATGAGTGTTCTGAATGAGGGTGTGCCAGGAAACTATTTTCCTGCTATTTTCGGAGAGCAGGCAAGAGTAGAGAGAGCTGTGGAAGGAGGCAAAGGAAGGCTGAGAGGAATGTTACAAGCTGTGGGCAGCCTTTTCTTTTTCCATGTTTGCTGCAGGTGCATGCAAAGGAGAAAAACACTTGCTCCTTCTAGGATTTGGCTCGGGCGTTGGGGAAACCTGTGGCTTTCTCCATCCACGTTTTTGCTGCTTCTTGGAATCTGGGGACCCTGAGTAAACCTGCCACATCTGGACAGAATTAGACCCCCTCCTCCTCTCACCGCCTTGGGGTTAGGAGTTGCTTGAACACACCAAGCCTCATACTGTGACAGGGTTTTGGCAGTTTGGTGGAGAACCGCCTTTCATTAACGTGTCCCCAGCATTTCACTCATTCCTTTCGCACTGGGAAATATATAACATGTTAGTGTTGGTCCATGGGGGCCTGGAAATGAAGATGTCAAGAGAGCAGGAAACCTTCCACATTGGCTCTGCCTGGGCGCTAGACCCGGCCCTTAGGCGTGGTCCCCAGCTGCGCTGGGAAGAACCGCCCTTCAAGTTTTCAGGAAAATTCAGCCACCAGACAGCTCGAGGGGCCAGGAGGAAACCAGGGTCCAGGTGGCGTTATCAGAGCGCAGCAAAAGTTAGCGGATGGAAATGGCTCCTGTTGGACCACCTGGCAGGGAAACGGCACTTGAATGCGCTCGCCTCACCAGCTTCACGTGGGAGGGCGTTTGGCAAGGGAGAGGAGAACGCTGGAACCTCAGTGAAGCCTCTGATCAGACACCGAGCCTGCCACCGTGGTGTGCTGCCCAGGGACCTGAGAAGAATCGCCCGTGACATAGATATGGTGCTGCTGACAATGAATTGAGAGGCGGTGCAAGCTCCCAGTTCGCAGCAGGGCGCTACCTAGACTGGAACGCTGTGAAGAGAAGCCCCCTCCAGCTCAGGCGCAGCCACAACAGACACCCACTGAGCCTGCAGGGCCACTCTGGCGTGGCTCCAAGCCAGCCAGGCAGCCCTCTGGTCTGAGGCCCGCTTCCTTGCCTTTCCCAGAAAGTGCCTCTGAAGAGAGGTCTAGGCACATGAGCAAAGAGTATACTGTGAGTCTGTTAGTGTCTTTGCTGAAATAAAGAGGCTGGAACAGTCACTCTCCTGGAGCTTTGGCCCTCTGGGGACAGGAAAGTGCAATCTCACATCCTCTGTCCCCAGGACTTGGAAAGCCCTCAGGCAGTCCCTAACCACAATGTGGGGGACAAGCTACTTCCAGGGGCGGGTCCTTCTTCCTCCTTTGGGCCGCACACCTTGAGCTCCGTACAACCTGCTGCGTCGTCTAGTTCTTACGTGTCCTCCAATAACTATTGAAAAATGCGTTTGTGGCAATGAAAGTACAAGTCTTGCCAAAACCTGTTTGGCTCAGTGGATGGAGCCTCGGTCTGCCGACTGAAAGGCCCCAGGCTCAATTCCAGTCAAGGGCATGTACATTGGTTGCGGGCACATCCCCAGTGGGGGGTGTGCAGGAGGCAGCTGGTTGATGTTTCTCTCTCAGGGATGTTTCTAGCTCTCTATCCCTCTCCTTTCCTCTCTGTAAAAAAATCAATAAAATATATTTTTTTTAAAGTACAAGTCTAATTTGCTTGATGGAACTATAGGAAAGTTCAGACGAATGAAGAGGTGCATACACACATACAGATGGATACATATAATTTTGCAGACAACCTCTGTGAGGCTCAGGTACCTCTCCCTATGCTTTGCCCCAACAGTAATGGGGCCTTTGACTTGGAATTTGTGTCATGGAACTCACATGTTGTGTGCCTCATAAGGAATGTTTAAGCCTTCCCAAGTAATAAATTAAGTGCTTTATTTTCTCAACTCTAAGCTGGCATCAATTAATCTGTGAGAATTAGTACCTACTGGTTTTTGTATAGATACAAATATTGTGTATAGGTAGTTAAGGAAGAATGTAGACAAAAATTAGAGCCATCACTTAGACACTTTCTAATGCCTGTCTCTTTAGTAATAGCCACTCTGTTACTTTGAACAGATGACCTCAATGGGTCCTTATCTCTGATTCAAGCTAGCCCAGTTCCAACCAGCAGGAGAGCTGGCTCCTGAGTGAGGTCTCAACCACATGTGTCCTGGCTGAAGACCTGAGTCTCTGAAGAAGATTTCTAAGCTAAAACTCAAAGTGATATGAGCAGAGGTTGCATGGGAGAGATGGGCATCAAACTTTTCTTCCTGGACAAGCACTGGGATGTGGCAATAATAATAGGAAACTTTTGGA